CTCTTTCCAGTGCGTCCACATCCTTCCTGTCACGGGAGCCCAGCACTGGGTGCAAGACTCCAGATGTGGCCTCCCCAGTGCCAAATAAAGGGGAATAATCGCTTCTTTAGACGTGCTGGCCACTGGCGCCAGCACATTGGCAGGGCCGAGGAACGTGCAGGGCCTGGCTGCTGGGCTTGTGCTACAAGAGGTTTGTCCTTTGTTTCTGCAGCAGAAATACCGCAGGAGCCTGGCCTGCCGCAGGCGAAGAGCAAGGAGGAAGAGCACCAAGATGTTAACGCCGATGCTGCTGCACAGCACCCTCCAAAGCAGATTCTGAACCCGCCTCAGGCAGCGCTGGGTAATCAGCCTGTTCACTCAGAGCAGCACCCAGGGAATATCGATCCTCCGGACGAGGCTGGGCACAAAGTTCCTGTTAGTGTAGACGGGCCTGGCGTGCCTGAGGCCCCGCCCAACGGTGGGAAGGTCCCACAAAAGGTGACCAAAGATGTTAACGCTCGAGAGAGCTTAGAGGAGCCGCTTCATAGCGATGACTCGCAGCAGGCTGATGCCATGGGACGTCCAGAGAAGATGCCCTCGGCCAAGGAGGCAGGAGGAGGCCATGAAGTCAGAGCTGCGGGAGAGCCCCAAGAGAAGAATGTCCTGGAAGCTGGAAAAGTGGCGGCAGATGCTGACACCCAGAGAGAGCTGCCGAGGGCTGCCAAAGCTCAGGAGGCAGCAGGGAAGGCACCGCAGCGAGCCTTCGGTGCAGACTCTAAAGCCAAACCAGCAAGTAAAGAGGAGCCCAAAGAGCTGGAGTTTCCACGTCACCCTTCAGACAAAGGGCAGGGGGTGGAGAACGTGCAGCCTCAACAGGAACATCCGCGAACTGGCAATGGCGACGGGGCCGATGGAGCTGGCAGCAGACAGAGGCAGGCCGCCCGGGGGGAGCAGGCCAGCGAGACGGAGGCTGAGAGAGAGGTGCTTCGGCAAAGGGCGGGGGATGTGGAGCAGGGTCTTCAGGGCAGCCACTTGGACAAGCCGAAGGATGCAAAACTTCTCAAAGATCCCGCCGAGAAGAAAGCCCTGGAGAACGACGGTGCCTTAAAGCGTGAGAAGGGAGCTGCCCCCCTTCTGGATCAGAAAGCGGAGCAGGAGAACGTCAAACCAAACCGGGACTTGAAACTGCAAGCGGACACGGACCTGCGGAGGAGGAGACGGGACCTGCCGCCTCCCCTGCGGGAGGAGACTGAGGGCGTCCTCATTGGTCTCAACCCCCTCCCAGACGTGAGAGTGAACGACCTGCGCAGCGCCCTGGAGACGCGCTTCAACCAGGCAGTGGGAGGCGCCCAGCAGGTGGTTCACAGTCGGCAGATCAAACAAATAGCGGAGGAGGTGTGAAGCCTTACTCCGGTGGTGGTCGAGGCATTGTCACCCCGTGCCAAGCTGACATCCGCGCTAGCAAACGCGACCGTTTGCTGACAGTCTAACTCAGACTGGTTCCCAGCAGCCCTGGGGCGGATTCTGACCTCCTTGTGCTCTCCAGGGAACCGGGGGCCACCCTGGCCTGTCCGTTTCCTTCAGTGCTAACGTCCTGCCTGTGTTGGTCATTGGGGCGTCTGTCTAGTCAGCGCCCCGAAAGAGACACACCAACGGCCTCCGGCTTTCCATGGCCCTCCCCGTTTGCAGAGGATGTCCGGTGCTTCCTTCCTGGTGAATTGCCCTGTTCGTCCAGCCCCCATTTCCCTGTTCAGTAGCAAGGCACGTCCTGGGCTTCTCAAACCCTCTCCTGGCAAATGTGCTGAGTTGCTTGGTCCAACGTCTGTAGGCCTTGAGGGGGAACTCGCCACGGCTCCACTTCTCCTGGACTGTGGCCATCTGCCTGGGGAATACGTCCACGAGGCCTGGGCTAGCCCATTGCTGGGGTACGTGTTCCTCAGTGGGAAGCTGTCCCCGTCAGTCTTGCCCGTGGAATATCCGTGCGGGCTGTCAGATGCTGCCTTAGCGGCACAACAGCAACCACTGTGCTGCCTCTTCCTCCCAGGGATCCTTCATTTGGCCACCTCCTAGCACTAACGAGCGCTTCACCTTCGCCGCATGTGAACATTCCCATTGTGCTTTCCACCACACGAGTATTCCTGCCCAACGCGCACCCAGGGGCGCAGGCTGGGAACTGCAGGCTCCCATCTTCCCCTCCAAAACAGCGTGAGCCGCGCTACACAAAGTAGCGGATATCAGGAAACGAAACTGTGTGATTGAAAGGGGCCGTCTCCACGAGGGCTGGCTCAGCTGTACCTCTCTCTCGTCTCCCCCGGCTGAGCGCACGGAACGTTTGGTCTCGTTGCATCTGACAGAGCAGCTCTTTGATGTGTGATTAAATCCATTGAGGCTGGTAATCAAGTTACTTGGGTCACGTAGTCACGAGCAGAGGAAGTGAACACTTCCTGAGAGAAGTGGTTTGTGGCAAGAGTCCAAGAGACAGGGATCAGTCGTCCATTTGGAAGTGTGGTAAATGAGATCCCTTGATTGCCAAATGTAGGAAAAAATCCCCAAGCTTTCACTAGAATGATTGAAATTCCCCCTGCCACGAGCCTGGGGGCCTCCCACTGCTCCTTCCGCAACAGCCTCTTTTAGTCCTTAGCAGATCAACCTCCCGCAAGCAGGAAGTAAGTAACTTGTGATGGGAGCTGGGTACCAGGAGAGAAACCCACTCGGGGCGACTGCCTTCAGCATAGAGAACTCTGAAAATGGCGGGAGCACATAGGACTTGTCTTTCAAGTCAGCCTGTTATCTGATGTGCTTAAATCTTCCCCGGGGGCAGCGGTATGTCGTCAGGAGGGGTGTTGTAGAGAAGATTGTCATAGCCAGTCTCCGCTACCCCGTCTCAAAGCACAGTTAACCTGTAGCGGGGACTCTTGTAAATTCTGTTCCGGGGCAGGCGGCCTCCTTGCGATTGTTTGGGACTGTCAGATGCAGGAGACCCTAGCCGGCCTGGCACATGCTTTCAGTGCGGCAGTCGCCTCTGCTAGCGGCCAACTCTAAAGTCAGCCCCTGTGCAAGAACTAGCCCTTCACAGCTATCAAGGAGTTCTGGAGGGGAACTAAGTGCCCTGCCCGGCCCTGCTTGCACCGAGCGTGTGCACAGGGATCTCCCCTGGCCTCTGTCAGCTGTTGGGAACCTGCCTGGTGCCGGAGCAGTTTCTCTTCCACGTGAGCAGCAGGCTAGGGTGACGGGCCTGGAGCGGTGACCATGTGCTGCTGCGGGGATGCCTGCTGACCACAAAGGGACCAAAGATATTTTAGACATTCCTCAGCACTTGCAATGGGCCAGTGTTGATGGATTTTTGTTGTGAATGAGACATTCCCAGCTGGACAAAAGCAGGGAACTTTCTTACCTCTACGTGCGAGGACCAGCTTGGGTTTGTAGTGCTCAGGGGAAAGGGGAGGAGGGGCCAAGCCAGGCAAATCAATAAAATACGTTCAAAGCATTTTGATCTGAGTTCTTCTAATTATAACAAGTGCCCGTCAGCAGCTCTCAGCCCTCGGGCCACGGTTCCTGCTAGCCAGGCTGGGACAATCCTTGCACTTCTCCTTCAGGGATCCGTGTTCATTCCACCTCCACTCCAGCCATGGCAGGAGAGAACAGCAGGCCCCTTTCCCCCTTTGCTTGGAGAGAAGGGAGAGTCGCCCTGTGGGCCCCAAATGGGAGATTTCATAAAATGGCACTTGGATTGTTCAGCTCAGGAGCGAGCAAGATCCGGCCCACCCTACCACTACTCTCTGCCACTCAGTGTGGCTGGCTGCTCCATGTGACTGCCAGGGAGGGGAAGGGGAGGCTTAGCATGCTGCCCTTGACGCCCCAGCACAATCTCTTAGCTCCTATTGGCAGGAAACTGGCCAATGGGAACTGAGAACTTGTTTTGGGGGCAGGCATACAGTATAGAGCCACATGGAACAGCTAGACACTTTGAGCCCTGGGGCTTCTGGCAGGCAGGGGAGCCAGCCTGAGGGTCACCTCGGTTAGCGCCTCCTGGCTAGAATCTGACACCCCACCTCCCTGTCCCAGGTCACCACCCAAAACCCTCAGCACCCCCTGCCCTCCACTCCAGGTTACAACTCTTCCCAGACCCCACTGCACCACCTCCTAGACCTTTTCCTCAGGCTAGAATCATTTCCTGCACCTAAATCCACTACCCCAGGTCACAACCCCCTTCCTCACCCAAACTCCCTCTGCTGCAACCCAGTGCCCTACTCCAAGCTCCCTTCTGCACCCAGCCTCCATCCCGGACCCCACACCTCCTCCATAGAAAAGTTACCAAAATCTTGGCATGTCTCTCTCCCCCCCTTAAATTATTGCCCATCCCTGGTTTAGCTTCAGGGTGACTGCACTGAAGTGTAAAGGGGGATGCAGCTTCCAGTATGCTCTCCCCTAAGCAGGGACAGGATACCTGCTCTCATTAGCATGCTTTTCATGAGCTAGCGCCTCCCTCCCTTTTATCAAGCTGCAGCTTGGATTTACTCATGCTAGTGGTCCAGTGTTGTCACTGTAGCCCTGTGCTCACTATTCTACCCTTCCGGGCCCCAGTGCCCTGAGGTTAACGTAGGAGGGGTTGGGGAGGAGCATACAGTGCCACCCACTTAGGCGGAGTTCAGACACGCTCTGTAACCTTGGCTCCTTTCTCCCCCCCTCTCAGCAGTTTCTGGGCTTAGGTTTTCAGAGCTGCCATCCGAAAGCCTGTATTTGCATGGGAAGTGGAGAGCTAGCAGCAAGGGGCCCAGCTCTTTAGCATCCCCTTGCTTTGGCTGAACTCAAGCACTAGTCATAGGTCAGCCCATTCTGGCTGCTTCCCAGTTACTGGCAATAGGGCAAAGTTAATGAAATCCTGGCAGCGAACGCAGAACTTTCTCTCCAGTGACCGATTCTGTGTTTCTGCCCCTCAGCAGTTCCTATGACCGTGTGGGAAAGGGAGATAGACTCCTCCGTTCCCAGGACGGCCACGGGCCAACAGCCAGCTCTCCCACTAAGGGCAGTGAGACTGGGCCTCAGAGCATAGCCAGTCGTTAGACCAGAAGCTTAGTTAGAAAGCAGCATTGCTACCCAGTCCAGACTGCAATTGTAGAATAAAGAGCAGGTTGTAACACTTACTCCCATTTTGGAGTTTTATTTACAAAGTTTCTGAAAATGTATTTACATGCATGGTGGGAAAGACCTTGGGGAGGAGCTTGATTATTTGATGATTAAACTCCTGGTGCCTTCTGATTTAACAATTATACATTATGTGGGTCCTCATGTTGTGGAACTACCTGATTACAGCTGCACAGCCACCAGCAAGAAACTGTACATCTAAGCTCCAGTCCCCTGAATTGTTCCCAGTGCTTTCACCTCCTTGTCCTCTTCGCCTGTAAAAAGAAGCGAGTCAGATAAGCCACGAGGATTGGTGTTTTCTTTTTCCAAAATACAATTCCCGGTGTGGGGTGAGGACTTTGCCAGATAAGACACTCACAGGGACTAAGTGGAGGGGGAAACTGCCCTCATCTACCTCTGTACTTAGATGGCCCTACTCCGCTGTTTCAGAGTGGTTCAGCCACAACTTCCTTGCTCTTATCCTGTAACACAGACTGTGACCGAGTCAGAGGGGAAAGTTAAGGGTTTCCTTATCCCAAATCCAATGCCTTAACCACAAAACTATCCTTCAGCTTGAAAAGACTCTACAGTGGACAATTCTGATGTATTAGACTTCAGGGAGTGGGTCCTAGGTTTGAGAATTACTTCCCCATGCACATTCTGCGTTAAGGGGGCATAAGCATGAATAGCGCTGAACTTCCCAGGCCAGAGTCCCCTTCCAGGATGCATCCAGAAGGGTGGCACCGAAGTTGTTGCGTACAGATACTCCCTGCAACGTACTGCCTTTGTGAAGCACTCCTTCAAGGCCTCAAACTCCTTTGCACACGCATCCTTCCTCAGCTCGGCCCGGCCAGCTGTCGTTGCCGCGACGTCTGTAGGCCTTGAGGGGGAACTCGCCACGGCTCCACTTCTCCTGGACTGTGGCCATCTGCCTGGGGAATACGTCCACGAGGCCTGGGCTAGCCCATTGCTGGGGTACGTGTTCCTCAGTGGGAAGCTGTCCCCGTCAGCCTTGCCCGTGGAATATCCGTGCGGGCTGTCAGATGCTGCCTTAGCGGCACAACAGCAACCACTGTGCTGCCTCTTCCTCCCAGGGATCCTTCATTTGGCCACCTCCTAGCACTAACGAGCGCTTCACCTTCGCCGCATGTGAACATTCCCATTGTGCTTTCCACCACACGAGTATTCCAGCCCAACGCGCACCCAGGGGCGCAGGCTGGGAACTGCAGGCTCCCATCTTCCCCTCCAAAACAGCGTGAGCCGCGCTACACAAAGTAGCGGATATCAGGAAACGAAACTGTGTGATTGAAAGGGGCCGTCTCCACGAGGGCTGGCTCAGCTGTACCTCTCTCTCGTCTCCCCCGGCTGAGCGCACGGAACGTTTGGTCTCGTTGCATCTGACAGAGCAGCTCTTTGATGTGTGATTAAATCCATTGAGGCTGGTAATCAAGTTACTTGGGTCACGTAGTCACGAGCAGAGGAAGTGAACACTTCCTGAGAGAAGTGGTTTGTGGCAAGAGTCCAAGAGACAGGGATCAGTCGTCCATTTGGAAGTGTGGTAAATGAGATCCCTTGATTGCCAAATGTAGGAAAAAATCCCCAAGCTTTCACTAGAATGATTGAAATTCCCCCTGCCACGAGCCTGGGGGCCTCCCACTGCTCCTTCCGCAACAGCCTCTTTTAGTCCTTAGCAGATCAACCTCCCGCAAGCAGGAAGTAAGTAACTTGTGATGGGAGCTGGGTACCAGGAGAGAAACCCACTCGGGGCGACTGCCTTCAGCATAGAGAACTCTGAAAATGGCGGGAGCACATAGGACTTGTCTTTCAAGTCAGCCTGTTATCTGATGTGCTTAAATCTTCCCCGGGGGCAGCGGTATGTCGTCAGGAGGGGTGTTGTAGAGAAGATTGTCATAGCCAGTCTCCGCTACCCCGTCTCAAAGCACAGTTAACCTGTAGCGGGGACTCTTGTAAATTCTGTTCCGGGGCAGGCGGCCTCCTTGCGATTGTTTGGGACTGTCAGATGCAGGAGACCCTAGCCGGCTTGGCACATGCTTTCAGTGCGGCAGTCGCCTCTGCTAGCGGCCAACTCTAAAGTCAGCCCCTGTGCAAGAACTAGCTCTTCACAGCTATCAAGGAGTTCTGGAGGGGAACTAAGTGCCCTGCCCGGCCCTGCTTGCACCGAGCGTGTGCACAGGGATCTCCCCTGGCCTCTGTCAGCTGTTGGGAACCTGCCTGGTGCCGGAGCAGTTTCTCTTCCACGTGAGCAGCAGGCTAGGGTGACGGGCCTGGAGCGGTGACCATGTGCTGCTGCGGGGATGCCTGCTGACCACAAAGGGACCAAAGATATTTTAGACATTCCTCAGCACTTGCAGTGGGCCAGTGTTGATGGATTTTTGTTGTGAATGAGACATTCCCAGCTGGACAAAAGCAGGGAACTTTCTTACCTCTACGTGCGAGGACCAGCTTGGGTTTGTAGTGCTCAGGGGAAAGGGGAGGAGGGGCCAAGCCAGGCAAATCAATAAAATACGTTTAAAGCATTTTGATCTGAGTTCTTCTAATTATAACAAGTGCCCGTCAGCAGCTCTCAGCCCTCGGGCCACGGTTCCTGCTAGCCAGGCTGGGACAATCCTTGCACTTCTCCTTCAGGGATCCGTGTTCATTCCACCTCCACTCCAGCCATGGCAGGAGAGAACAGCAGGCCCCTTTCCCCCTTTGCTTGGAGAGAAGGGAGGGTCGCCCTGTGGGCCCCAAATGGGAGATTTCATAAAATGGCACTTGGATTGTTCAGCTCAGGAGCGAGCAAGATCCGGCCCACCCTACCACTACTCTCTGCCACTCAGTGTGGCTGGCTGCTCCATGTGACTGCCAGGGAGGGGAAGGGGAGGCTTAGCATGCTGCCCTTGACGCCCCAGCACAATCTCTTAGCTCCTATTGGCAGGAAACTGGCCAATGGGAACTGAGAACTTGTTTTGGGGGCAGGCATACAGTATAGAGCCACATGGAACAGCTAGACACTTTGAGCCCTGGGGCTTCTGGCAGGCAGGGGAGCCAGCCTGAGGGTCACCTCGGTTAGCGCCTCCTGGCTAGAATCTGACACCCCACCTCCCTGTCCCAGGTCACCACCCAAAACCCTCAGCACCCCCTGCCCTCCACTCCAGGTTACAACTCTTCCCAGACCCCACTGCACCACCTCCTAGACCTTTTCCTCAGGCTAGAATCATTTCCTGCACCTAAATCCACTACCCCAGGTCACAACCCCCTTCCTCACCCAAACTCCCTCTGCTGCAACCCAGTGCCCTACTCCAACCTCCCTTCTGCACCCAGCCTCCATCCCGGACCCCACACCTCCTCCATAGAAAAGTTACCAAAATCTTGGCATGTCTCTCTCCCCCCCCTGAAATTATTGCCCATCCCTGGTTTAGCTTCAGGGTGACTGCACTGAAGTGTAAAGGGGGATGCAGCTTCCAGTATGCTCTCCCCTAAGCAGGGACAGGATACCTGCTCTCATTAGCATGCTTTTCATGAGCTAGCGCCTCCCTCCCTTTTATCAAGCTGCAGCTTGGATTTACTCATGCTAGTGGTCCAGTGTTGTCACTGTAGCCCTGTGCTCACTATTCTACCCTTCCAGCCTTAGGGTTAACGTAGGAGGGTTTGGGGAGGAGCATACAGTGCCACCCACTTAGGCGGAGTTCAGACACGCTCTGTAACCTTGGCTCCTTTCTCCCCCCCTCTCAGCAGTTTCTGGGCTTAGGTTTTCAGAGCTGCCATCAGCGGAGTTCAGACAAGTAACGTTGGCTCCTTTCTCCCCCCCTTCTCAGCAGTTTCTGGGCTTAGGTTTTCAGAGCTGCCATCCGAAAGCCTGTATTTGCATGGGAAGTGGAGAGCTAGCAGCAAGGGGCCCAGCTCCTTAGCATCCCCTTGCTTTGGCTGAACTCAAGCACTAGTCATAGGTCAGCCCATTCTGGCTGCTTCCCAGTTACTGGCAATAGGGCAAAGTTAATGAAATCCTGGCAGCGAACGCAGAACTTTCTCTCCAGTGACCGATTCTGTGTTTCTGCCCCTCAGCAGTTCCTATGACCGTGTGGGAAAGGGAGATAGACTCCTCCGTTCCCAGGACGGCCACGGGCCAACAGCCAGCTCTCCCACTAAGGGCAGTGAGACTGGGCCTCAGAGCATAGCCAGTCGTTAGACCAGAAGCTTAGTTAGAAAGCAGCATTGCTACCCAGTCCAGACTGCAATTGTAGAATAAAGAGCAGGTTGTAACACTTACTCCCATTTTGGAGTTTTATTTACAAAGTTTCTGAAAATGTATTTACATGCATGGTGGGAAAGACCTTGGGGAGGAGCTTGATTATTTGATGATTAAACTCCTGGTGCCTTCTGATTTAACAATTATACATTATGTGGGTCCTCATGTTGTGGAACTACCTGATTACAGCTGCACAGCCACCAGCAAGAAACTGTACATCTAAGCTCCAGTCCCCTGAATTGTTCCCAGTGCTTTCACCTCCTTGTCCTCTTCGCCTGTAAAAAGAAGCGAGTCAGATAAGCCACGAGGATTGGTGTTTTCTTTTTCCAAAATACAATTCCCGGTGTGGGGTGAGGACTTTGCCAGATAAGACACTCACAGGGACTAAGTGGAGGGGGAAACTGCCCTCATCTACCTCTGTACTTAGATGGCCCTACTCCGCTGTTTCAGAGTGGTTCAGCCATTCATTCATTCCCACAACTTCCTTGCTCTTATCCTGTAACACAGACTGTGACCGAGTCAGAGGGGAAAGTTAAGGGTTTCCTTATCCCAAATCCAATGCCTTAACCACAAAACTATCCTTCAGCTTGAAAAGACTCTACAGTGGACAATTCTGATGTATTAGACTTCAGGGAGTGGGTCCTAGGTTTGAGAATTACTTCCCCATGCACATTCTGCGTTAAGGGGGCATAAGCATGAATAGCGCTGAACTTCCCAGGCCAGAGTCCCCTTCCAGGATGCATCCAGAAGGGTGGCACCGAAGTTGTTGCGTACAGATACTCCCTGCAACGTACTGCCTTTGTGAAGCACTCCTTCAAGGCCTCAAACTCCTTTGCACACGCATCCTTCCTCAGCTCGGCCCGGCCAGCTGTCGTTGCCGCGACACATTTTCCATAGGCTGCTGCCTGCAAAACACACGCTGCCTCCATCTCACAATGTCTCCAGCCCCAAGGGTGAAAAGGGTCTGAGTCAGGCACCCTGCCCCCAAAGTCACCAGTTGGGCCTAAACATGTGAAGCAGGAGGGGGCTGCCCAGGGCTCTTATTACTATCCCTGCTCCCTTCCTGGGCTGGGGAGAGGGGCAGCAAAGTGACTGGGTGCAGAAGCTCCACTGTGGCTCTATCATTCACTGGGGCAGCCCTAGCAATATCCCTGCACTGTCTCCAGCGGTGGGGGACCCCCCCCCCCCCCCCCCAAGGTGCCTCATCTTCACTTCCATTCCACTTCTGCTGGAGCCCGAGGGAGGGTCCCAACCCGCCCACCTGCTTTCGCCAGGACCCTTCTGGAATCATGCAGCCCAGCCAGGAGATTTTGGGCGCTAAGAGCCTGGCAGAGCTGAACCAGGCCCCCTGGCCGCCCTCACGGTAGCATCATCCCTGGCGGCAAGAGGGGTTCTGTTCTCTACCCAATGGGAAGTATGCCAACGGGACCGGATGGCATTCATCCAAGGGTTCTAAAAGAACTCAAATGGGAAATTGCTGAGCTATTATCTGTGGTTTGTAACCTATCCTTTAAATCGGCTTCCGTACCTAATGACTGGAAGGTAGCCAACGTGACACCAATATTTTAAAAGGGCTCTAGAGGCGATCCTGGCAATTACAGACCGGTAAGTCTAACTTCAGTACCGGGCAAATTAGTCGAAACAATAGTAAAGAATAAAATTGTGAAGCATGTAGAAGAACATAATTTGTTGGACAAAAGTCAACATGGTTTCTGTAAAGGGAAATCCTGTCTTACTAATCTATTAGAGTTCTTTGAAGGGGTTAACAAGCATGCGGATAAGGGGGATCCAGTAGATATAGTATACTTAGATTTTCAGAAAGTCTTTGACAAGGTCCCTCACCAAAGGCTCTTGTGTAAATTAAATTGCCATGGGATAAGAGGGAAGGTCCTTTCTTGGATTGAGAACTGGTTAAAAGACAGGAAACAAAGGGTAGGAATAAATGGTAAATTTTCAGA